ACCTTAAAATAACGGAGATCTGCAAATATATGGCCCCAACGGGCACTCGTACTTGAGTAATAGCGTGATTAGAAAGACAGACTTTGGGGTGGATAAAGCGAGTGACAGATTCGTCGGAGTCGCTAGAGTATATACAGCGCAGGAAAAAAAAGGGGGGGGGCGTATAAGTAAAAAAAAACCCGTGCCTCATTAAGATAACTTAAGACTAAAGACATATGTAGTTAGATGAAATAATAAATATAAGTAGCCGCTTGCTACTTGACATATAGTATAGTTGAAATAAATTAAGATTGCAGCGTATGTGGTCTAACGGAAATATTGGTACATTATTGATTATGATTTTACTTTTTGTGTTTGGTACTTTTTCTTATTTCATCCAGATATTTCGTATCTTAGATAGCCACCAATATTTTTTTAAATTAAGCCTATACGTATCGTTATAATCAGTATCTGGGATAGAAGTGGAGTAACGGATTTCTGCTTTATTATTAGGATCGAAAGAGATTAACTTATTAACAAAGCTGTGCTTAATATGATATATAGTTGGTACATTACGCGCATCTTGAATAGATCCTTTATTATCGAAATACATGAATTGTTGTGGAGCCAGAGCTGGCTGTAGCTTTACAGTCAATTTGATCTAGGGAAGAGAGCTTCCTAATAATTTTGTTTTGGCAAATTAGTCCCTACATAGCTTGATAATGAAGTTATCGATTCGGGAGATTGCAGCTTTATTATAGAGCTCTTTGTTACTTATAAATTTGTTACTTTTTTTTTCCTATAACAGTTGAACGCCACTCGGAGACAGTAGCGTTCGAATTTGCGAAGTTTGTCAACAAGAAGGGCTCCGAGATTCCACCATATAGGGCATGCATAGGTTAATAAGGGACAGATGAGTAGTAAGTAATAGATAACTTTAGCATGGCGCGAGCGCTCTATTGTAGAAGAGACGACTATATCCTTTAAATGATTTTTTGGCTTTTTGTAATTGGGTATTGATGTTCATTATAAGCAGATAGTCTAGGTGAACACCAAGATATTTGACTGTTTCTTTAAGTTCAATAGTGTGAGATTTGTTATTGTTGTGGAAATAAATTTGGAATTTATTTATTTTATCTTCAATGGAGGGAGTGATGAACCCTAACGGACGGTGAAATAGGATAGTGTCACATTTGTTATAATTAACTAGAAGGTTGTATAAGTTGTAGTAATTATTAGTTTTATTGAAAAGTTCCTCAAGTTTCTTTTGAACTATGAGAGGATCTTTATCAGCTACTAGTATGACGTAGTCGTCGGCAAAGGCTGCAGAGTAGGTGTTATTACCAGAATTAAGGCCGAAAAGGTTAGAGATTTTATGGGTGAATATATTAAAAAGCTCAGGAGAATTAACAGTTCCTTGCATTAAACCTTCTGCAATGATAAATATAAGGGAGGAGATTTCTTCACCATTCCAGGTGAGGAAGTAGCGGTTGGTAGTCATACTCCAAATTAGTTGAATAAAATCGAGTGCATATTTTAGGAGGGATAAATTATGAAGTAGACCGTGGATCTAGACAGAATCAAAACCTTTTTCTAGGTCGACTGAATACGCGCCAATTACTTCGCCTTGATAGAGGTAGCTATTGATATTAGATACAAGTTTGTGGACTGCATGAGTGGTGGAATATTGATGACGGAAGCCGAATTGATTATCAGGAATGATGTTGTTTATGATTGTGAAATTGCAGAAAGAGGTGTTGATTAGGCACTCAAAAATTTTACTAATAGCGGAAGTCAGACTGATGGGACGGTAACTCGAGACTTTGTTTATTGGCTTGTTTGTCTTGGGGATGGGGAAGATTTTTAATTTTTTCTAATTACCTGGGTAGAATCTATTATTGAAGTAGTTGTTGAAGAAGATAGTGTAGCTGTTTATGACATTGTTGGGTAGATGTTTGATAAATACGGGAGGGATGTTATCAAGTCCGGATGAGGTTTCGTTGGGAAGTGAACTAAAAATGCGAGTAGTAGAATAATTACTGTGGAAGGTGATACTATTTTCAATGGACCACGGGTTGTGGGCTGGATTGTCTGAAGTAAATGAGCAAATGGAGAGGTTATTGAGTATGTTGTTTTGGAAAGATTCGATCATTAACTCTACTGTTGAGTCTACCTCTATTTTTAGGGGAGTATTAGTGTTGGTGAATCTAGGGGAATTTATCTTTTCATAATAAGCACCGATAATATTTAAGATATCACTAGGAGATTTAATAAGATAAGAGTCGGCTACTTCAGGAAGCACATCAGTGTTGATGTTGCAACGATTGAGTAAGTCAAGTTCGTTAGGGCTGATTCATAAATGGTTTATTTTTATATCACTCCTTGGACGGAAGAATCGGTTAATTTTAAGAAAAAAGGATTCAGATTTACTATGATCAATGGCTTTGAGTTGACATTCCCAATATTTATTGTAAGAAGATCGGTATTCAGATTTAAGTTTTACGTTAATATCATAGATATGGTCACGGAGGAGAGGAGCGACTTGAGTTAATTTGAAACGGAGCGCGTGATTGAGTGAGGTTATAAGATATAACTTTTGTTTGTGTAATTTTTTTATTCTATGATTGACGTAGTTGAGTACATTATCCTCAGGTTTATATCTAGGAACGTAATTCCTTATTGTTTCTTGGATGATAGTTTCAATTTTAGTTAGATAATGTAGTATGTTGTTAAAAGGACCGAAACGGTTTTTGGTAAGAATCTGATTATTGAGAAAATGATCGTGATGAATATTGATAGTCTTGAGAGATTTCTTTTTCATTATCCAGGTATCTTGATTATTGACTTCACTGATGGGAGAGCCTGCCGTTGGTGAGTGACTAGGCGAGGCTTCATATAGTCTTTTTTTGCTTTGTGAAAGGTTAGGTTTAATTGGGCACATTCCTTTCGGGGGCGCATTGCTTAGTTACTGATGGGAGTGATTTCAGTTTCTTCATAAGATGTATTGCTGGTCTGCGACTTAGTATCAGTGTCCATGTCAGAAGCAGTCTCGAGGCCATCTTAGGCCTCCTTCTCAGGGTGTATCATGGTTGAATAAGGGGTCTCGTGTGCGAGAGGCCACCCAATCAATGAAAATAACCGTCAATGCCGAGCACGCGCCTGGCGTGGAGGCGTGATTAGTATGACCTAACCTCTAAATATACTATTGAGATAAACGAATTTGTTGAAGAAATAATGATGAAGGCAGGGATGATAGTTTGATCGATCGCGGGTGCCACTGTAATATGAAATTTTTACTGGACACTTGAATAAATTACTTTAGGAATATGATAAAAGTAATAAATGATGCGGGAGTACGAGTGTGCTGCCGCAACCATAGCTCTGCGGGGACTCTCGTTAGGCCAAATCGTTCCATCCATCGTGACTTTGCCTTCTGACAGCCTTTTAGAAGTAAGAATGTTTATAACGCGTGTTAGAATGTTTCCGCAAATCCGAATAAATATAGTGATTAAATTATATTAATACACTCCTTTTTCTTGTATTCATAATAAGTCAAAATCCAATTTCTCATATTTTTAAACACACTTTTTTAATCTTTTTATGAAAATTATTTTTTTTGTCAAAATAAAGTTTTTTCTAACGAGGAAACGAAAGAGGTTGTTCTCCCATATTTATTTACTCGAATACGACTAAAAATCTTCTAAACTACTACTCTAAACGACTAAAAAGCTTCTTTTATAAGCTTGAATGTGAGTTCTTATGCATTAAAAAACTATAATTCAGTCTTAAGTTAGGGATGGGTTATGTAAGAATTAAATTTTTAATAATTAAACATCAAAGCTTTAATCATATGTGCAATTTATGTGTAGTATTTACGTATTATTACAGATTTATTACAATTGAAGCTCTTATGCAATGAAGAGAAGCTAATTAGTCATATGGTACATAACGAGCGGCTTGTAACTTGATATATCTCTTTCTCTCCCTGAAGCCATAAATAAATAATCATTTATAATTAATTATGTATCAAAAATTTATAAGACGTTTCAGCGCCGCGCAGTCAGCGATTTGGTAAGTGACGAGCCGTTCGATCGATGATCGACGGTTAGTTCGTAACATGGAACTCGCAGAGAGAAAGCTATTGCGAGGGGAGAGAGAGCATAGATGCGATAGACAGAGTTAGCCTTCGGTCAACTTAGTGTAAACACGCGCTGGAGGAAAACAAAAAGGAGTCTGATTAGCGAACGGAGAGAGCAAAAGCTAGCAGGCAGTTAAGCGATTGCGCTCAAGAGACAACATCTGGATGCACCTTGTAGGTGATCGGAGAATTGTGATATACTCGTAAGGTAGTTCACCAAGAAAAAGCGTTTTCGCATAACGAGTGACTTGTTAGATTTCGACAGACAAAGCGATTGCGCTAGACTGATTCTAGGAACTATGAACGATTGTAAGTATATTTTTGAAGATTAGTCTTCGTCTCTCTCCTCCTACTCGGTTGCTCGCGTTGCAACAGCTAACTTGATTCATAACGTGATGCGACATTAACCTTTCGTATGTTCTCTATATTTTTGAATGAACATCCGTCTTTATCTCGAAGCGGTAACTTATTTTATGTTTCCCTGTTTCTCCTCGAATTTCCACTATGCCCTTGTCCATGCTCACGCATATCTCTCTTTGGTGATCGTACGCATGATTTCGCGTACCGCGCGACAATTTTTTACAACCGATTTTCTACAACCAGGAAGGAGCTAATTCTGAGTAGCTAGACCGAGGACGTTCTAAGCAGGAGTACAGAGTCGCTCTGGAGATCACTCGAAATTTACTTGTCTAATTTATGTGGTATCATTCATTTAAAACTTGTGGCGCATTCTGATCAAACGTAGCTAAGCCGAAACCCCGTTACAGGTATTATCGATAAGTATGAATATTTTTGTTTGATTTTCCTACATATTACATTTGTCATTCAAAGTAGATTTAATATGAAATTTTGAATTTTTATCCTTAACTATCTTTCATACCAGATCTTAAACGGTTTTCACCGATGGAGCGTTTTCGAGGAAAATTGAACATACTAGTGCACTTTCCGTTGATGGGATTGGAGTTAAGTGCGTTTGCAGCTCTCCGAGTGCAGGACTGCACGTACAATTTATACGGTGTTGCAAACCATTCGGGTACCACATACTCAGGCCACTATACTGCTTATTGCAAGCATCCTTATTCAGGTGAATGGCACGAGTACAATGATAGTCGTGTTAGTCCAGTATCGGCACATAGTGTTGTTTCCAGTGAAGCCTACGTACTCTTCTACGAACAACAGCCTCATAATTCCAATCTTTGATTCATCATAGTTAACTTTGTTCATGACAAATATTTATGATTTCTCTTGATTTTTTCACCGATTTATTCAATATATATATAATAATTAACAAATATATAAGCACATTTTAAACCCAGATGTACTTGGATATGAACAGTCGGAAAGCCAGTGTACTATTTATAACCAATATAGGTTTAATCCATAAACTAAAATTTGTTAATGTATTATAATTTTCTAAATTGCATAAAAAATATATAGATAAGTCGTTAAGATTTTTGTAAATTTAAATCTGTATCAACTATATTAATAAACTTAATATTTAAAAAAATACTACTTGTTCATTTGAAATTTAAATATGTATTTGAAAATTCAAAGTGGACATTTTGAATAATATGTCAGTCCAAATTTGTCTAAATAAAAGGCTTATTAGATTAGTTTTATCTTTTGCATTTATTTGATTAATAAGATATCGAATGAAAAACGTCCTATATCTATAACTCTACGGAGTGTGCCCAGAAACAATTCTAAACGAACATAGTGAATCACTAATTGACAAAGAATTAACTATGCAACAATAAAATCGCATAAATAGGAAAGGGCTGTGGTAGACGAATTAAAAACATTTCATACTGATTAATTGAAATTGCAAAACGATTTTAAAACTCTTTCACGAACAATAAATAATCTTAATAATAAAGTTGATAGATTGACAAATAGGATAATTGCTCAAGAAGAAATAATTAAAAATTTAGAATCAAATTTGGAAAAATCAAATGAAATTATTGCTATCTTAAAAGAAAGATACAATGATAATTTGAATGATATTATTCGCGAAAAAAATAATCTTACTTTGAAAATGAATGAAACGCTTTCAGTGCTTCGCGAAAATATTGATAAACTTAAAAATAATGATCAAAATAGATCTATTGTAACTGAAACATGTAACGGGACGCGAAAGGCCCCATCAGTCGGTAACGAACCGACATTACCCCCCGCAAGAACGGGAGCCATCAACCGGCTCCACTACCAAGTCGTCTGCCTTAGCGACAACACCTCCGGACATAACCTGCCGATCCGCTCCCGCGCTCGTGTAACACGTGTTCTTTCGCCTGTGACTACGCTCTTCACCGACTCGTTATCTAGTCGACCTCTGCCAGCAACAGCCCGATTTACCCTCCCGTCGAAGGATCATCGCAGCAGGCGGACACCAGCATCGACTGCTCAGAAGCTACGGCTAGTGCATACGCGATTGCGACCAGACGGAGCGCCGTGAGTACCCCCCTTTGTGTACACCGTTGCCCGACGTGTCTGCAACTTCGTCGAGGCACACGACGGGGCGTGCTCCGGGAGTGGGAAGTGAGTATGAGTGCGCTTGAGATTGTTCGCCAGAGTGATTGCAGCTCTCCTCGTTCGTTCGTCCGCGCTAGCGTTTGCGGCTCGACCTCGGTGATTCTCCTTTATTCTGCTTGGTGATAATATACGAGAAGTTCTACCCGATCCCCCTTGAGTTATTCTTTCGATCCCCGCTCCCTGAACGATACCTAGCCGTGCGGCAGAGCGGGTGTAAAGTCGGAGTCGATAAGTGTTCCGACGTTATAGCGGCCTCCGCCTCTCTAAATAAAACGTTATAAGACCGTTATAAACAATAATTGAAACGATTAAGCAACCAGCTTTAAAGTGTCCATTTTTCGATGAAAGTTATAAATATCGTTCGGTGAAATATTTAAATGATCTTAAATGTTACTTATATGCGAGTAATTACAATACCGCTAAGCTTTACTATCTCAATCTATGACGGGAGTAAAATCTTCGTCGTACGACTTACAAGGAGAGTGTTAACCTTGTGGGTCACGGATTTTGATGAAATTTTGCACATACCTTTTTTAGTCGAAAATATTGAACACATGTCTCTCAGGTTCTCTGAATAGGCTTTTCTTTATCAATTATCCATATATATTCATTTTTCTCTCTTTGGCCGACAGCGGATACTAGATTATTTTTAAGGACTACAAAAAGTTATTTTCGAATATGTGATTCGATACATATTTTCGATGTATTTTTTACGTAGAATAGAATGGTGCTATTAGATTTAACATAAAACTTACCCTGTCAAGCGCTAAAAGCCAAAAACTGAATTTCTTAGTGGTTTTTAGTGGTTTTTTTTTGTAGTTTTTTGCTTCTAGCGCTTGATAGAATAGGTTTTATGATAAATCTACTAGCAACATCGTATTCGACATTAAAAATACATCGACAAAATATATCATTCTTTTGGAAATAACTTTTTATAGACCTTAAAATAATACTCGACGTCCCTTGTCCATTATCGACGAACATCGAAGACATAGATTTTATGCCAATCTCTCTCAACTCAAAATTTTGTTCAAAACTTGTAATACGTGTTTACAATGTTCGTCTCTATATAACTTAAGTAAGAATAGGAAAAAAGTATGGAACCTTTAGTGATGAACAAAATTTTCAAAACCGTTAAAATTATCATTAAAATACGTTGTTTACGCTTCACAATGTAAATTATTCCAAATCTTTAAAAATGAGGGTTTCTTCACGTTAAATAAACTAAGAAATGAAACACTGTTTCAATTCAATTATTTACAATTTATTTATATTTCTATTCTGAAAATCGGTTTTTTCAGATTTGAAAGATATTGAACAGAACGCAAGATGTGCTGATATAACAAGCATCGAAAAATGTGCTTGATGAACGGCTTGAGTGGCCAACGCAACAATTGAATTAAAATCACCATGTCTCACATTCTATTTAATATTTTTCAAATCTGTTGCTGTTTCCAAAATATTAAAGTAAATAAATATTAAGTATAAGCTTTTATAGTTACTTAAACAATTAAATTGTTGATAACTAGTTACCTGTCCATTTTGTTGACAAGCTCCTCTCAAGATTTGTGTTGAGCAAGTCAAAATATAATATACGAGATTGTATTTTGTAGCCCCATTTGTCACTTTCACGAACGAAACCCGCACTGAATTTTGCACTACTCTTTTTGCAAATTAAAATATGACAAAAACTAAAAAACTTCTCAATAACTTTTAAATTTTAAAAAACAACAAATACATTTTTCATCCAATTCTTTCAAACATATTCCATGTATTCTGTTTTTTTCAATTATTTTGTACCTTTTCTAATGTTGAATGTCGAACCGTCGGGTTCATGTCAGATTGCTTTCTTGTCCATCAGACTGGTACCGTTGAATCGCCAATGCAGGTGAAACCAACCGTAACTGTTATTATTTTGAATGTTTGAAATTCTTTGATACCAATTGTGAGTGATAATTAATTATTATTATTCCGTTAATTATATATTAGAAAAAATCAAAAGTTATCAAAAGGTATGGAATTCTATAATAAATTCAATAAGTAACTAATAGTAACGGAAAAGTGATACTCGAAGATTATTTTCCGCTTTGTGAAAAGTTTTTCAAAGATTTTTGACTCAAACAAATTACAGTATGTATTATAAATTGTTCTTATATATCTAATATTAAAAAGTTGATAGATTTATTTAATTTTTATTTGTTTCTATTTTAGTATTCCGTAAGGATTCCATGAAACGTTTATAATTAACTATAATTGTTCGCGAAAATGACTAATCAATACAAAAATATTGAATAAAAGTCAAAACTTTTCAATCGGTGTTTACAAGTTTGCCTAGAAAATTTAATGTATGAATTTGATGAAGAGTTCTCACAAAACCCATCAGAGTAAGCTTGCAAAATTCGTAATGATATGGCAGTAGTTCTATGTGATTATTTTGAAACATTGACTGTAAAAGAGGAATTGATATTAGATGAAATTGACGAACTATATACAGATGCTGAATATATAAATTTAAACAATACCAATCAATGTTCACCAGAAGAATTTTATATATTGGAAAATTTAGAATGTCAAGAAGGTTGCTTCACATTACAAAAATTAAGTCTTCATAACAATTGATATCATTTGTAAAATCCACCAAATAATTACTCATACACTAAACAATTTATACATATACACTTAAGATAAACTTATACATTAGCTTTTGTACATTACTAGATAACTTTCTTGACAGTCAAGGGAGTGATTATCAACTTGAAACCAAAAAAATAAAGAAAGATTATTCAGCTGTTCGATTGGAAATTAAAATTAAATGTGTAAATTTAGCTAAAGAACATTCTGGTTGGTCGCTTACCACTCTGCAACAAAGAAGATTTCATTTTTTGACTAGATTGGACGTACTATAGAGATGGGAAAGAGATATTCGAAAAGGAGGTACTCAATTTGATAAGCAGGAATTCATAAACAAATGGACATATGATAGATTGTTAGATGCCAGAGAAAGAAAACTTCCTGTAAGTACTTACAAGGAACTTACCAAAATGGGCATTGCAAGGTGGTATGCAATTTAATCAAAAAGACTGCCAATTCAGTGCTTCCTTATCGTAGTTAAACAGATTTAAAAAATATTATCGAATAAAGCAAAGCAAAGTCACGAGATATTTAAAACCTACAGAAAAGATGTCAATTACAGAAATATTTTCTATAGCTGAAAAATTTCAAGATGAGTGTTACAATACAATAAAAAGTATGGATAAGAGCTCTGTTTTCAACACATATCAAATGGGTTGCGAATACAGACCAAATGTAAATAATACGTTGGAAATCGCTGGTACGAAAACTATGCAAGCATACCTTGGCGATTAGAATAAAGTGATCCATAGCTATACAGTTCAATATACAATTAGTACTACAGGTAAACTTCTACCAAAAGTTTTAATATGTTTGCAAGAGGTCAATGGTGTGTTCGGTTCAAAAATTATGAAAGGTATAGAAGCAATGTCGAAAGAATTTCCAAACATTTTTATAACTTGCTCGAAATCTGGGAAATTGTCATCGGCCTTGGTTCATCCATATACTCTTAATATTATGTTGCCACATGTAGAGTACAATCCATTTTTACTTCTTTCGGATAGCTAGGGTGGACAAAAAAATAAAAATTTGTTGACGAGCACGGTAATCAAAGTTGTACAGTTAAAGTTATTCCTCCTGGCTGCACAGCTTATGCTCAACCTTTGGATGTTTATTTTCATAGACAAGCAAAAATTTTAATTAAAGAAATTTACAATTCAACGTACCTTAAACAAAGAGAAGATCAATTGACGTCAAGATATGATGTTGTAAAAATACAATCACTTGTACACAATCAATTAGCAGCACTAATATTTAAAGAAATGATAACATATGACTGGTACGCTTCAAGAATGTTGGATAATCGGAACGT